TCCTCGTCTAATATATCTATCTGTGTGAAATAGTTTAAATCCATATATTTGATATTCAGCTAATAGTTCTCTATTTTCTACATTCATCCACGTTTCGGTAAGTGCAATAATATCTATTTTTTCTGTGCAGACAAGAGCATTTAATTCGTTAATTTTATTTCTTAGACTTCTACTGTTAGTGTAATATACCCTAAGTGAATTGTTATTTTGCGGACCTTCTCTTTCCCTGATCGTTTTGCCAATTCCTTTCTCCCACAAACACATACTTTTATTACCTCCTTCCTCCAAATCAATTCCCATACCTCTATCTACTAACAGTTTAAACCCAAACAAACACCTCTAACCACTTCTAGCGAGTTCGCAACAGCAACAACCCCAGCTCTCGATAGATGCACCCCATCACGAGCATACATTTCATTTCTTCCATAGAAGTGTTCCCAGTTGTCTATGAAAGATATTGCATTTGATTTGCAATATCTTTCCAGCCGGCAATTGACACCAAGTGCCCTCGATATCCATTCATTTCCCACTCCCTTTCTTGGAAGAATGCCACATATGATCGGGATTCCTCCCTTGCTCCTAACTAACTCTATGGCTGTTTTATACCTCTGAATCAGTTCCTCACTCCTTACTCGACCAACATCATTTCCTCCCACGCTAATGCAAATAATGGGATTGTTCCCATTACCAGCCATAATATCATTCATGTTGTTTATAATATCACCAATGCCAGCTCCGGGATAGCAAACCCTTAACCTGTTCCCCCTATCTCTAGCACAAAACGTTCTATCCAAATACCTTATCTGGGAATCTCCCACAACTAATGTTTGCTTAGGTACTTCCTTTACTTTCTGAGGGGCCTGCGCTTCCTTTCTCTTCGTTGCTTTCCCTTTTGCGCGATCCACAGTCTCTCCACAGCACTCGTGCTCCAAAACGTCAAATGAATTTGAAGTTGCTATGGCGTTTGAAGGCGGCTTTATCAAAGTCTTCTTAAGGCCCCTGTCTTTCGCAACTCTCCAAGACGAGGTCCCTTTACTGCTGGTCTCCTCCTTCGTTACTTCTCGTTGTTTTTTAAGCTGACGCACCTCCTCCCGCAGAGAGTCCAACTCTGTCCTCAGGGCTTCCACTAGAGTCACCAGGTCCTTCACTACAACTTCCATATTGCTATGATAATATAACAACACTCAGGAGCTCCGGTTAACACAACCTCTCACTGTGACTTCACCTGACCGACCATTTTTGAGAAAAGAGATAGATCACTTGCGTCAAACTATCGGCCAATTAGCCTAACGTCTATTGTGGGAAAGTTACTTGAATCAATAATTGCAAATACAATTCGTCTCCATCTTGAAAAACATAAATTAATAAACGAGTCGCAACATGGTTTTAAAATGGCCGTTCATGTTTAACAAATTTGCTAACTTTTTATTCCAGCATAGTTGAGGCAGTTGATAGTGGTAAGGATTGTGATGTTGTGTACCTTGACTTTAGCAAAGCTTTTGATACAGTGCCACATGAAAGACTAATTAAAAAAATAGAAGCTCAAGGTATTGGGGGTGCTATATTAACTTGGATTAGGGCATGGCTATTCCAAAGGAAACAGAGAGTTAGTATAAATGGGGTTAAGTCAGAGTGGGATAATGTTGTTAGTGGAGTACCTCAGGGCTCTGTCCTGGGACCTCTGTTGTTTATAATATATATAAATGATTTAGATTCAGGTTTGAGTAGCAACATTTGCAAATTTACCGATGATACGAAAATCGGTTGGGAAATTAATTCGGAGGAGGACTCCTTATAACTTCAAGTTGATCTAGATAGGGTTTTGAAATGGTCAAAGGATTGGCAAATGCAGTTTAATGCTGATAAATGTAAAGTTCTGAGGCTAGGTAATGATGATAGAGTTACAAGATACGAGCTAGATGGTGTTGAGATTGCGAAATCGGATTGCGAAAGGGATCTGGGAGTTATGATTAGTAAGAATTTAAAATAGTGAAGCAGAAGATTTTAAAGAATTAATTGACGATTGCTTTCTTACGCAACACATTAAGGAACCAACACGGGAAAATAATATTTTAGATTTAGTGTTAACTAACAGGGAAACGCAAATTAATTACATCGAAATAGGGAGTGAGCTAGGGAGCAGTGATCACAAAGAAATCAGATTTAGCATAGAATGGAATAGACCAGTAGGAGAAAATTCTGTTAAAGTGCCAGATTTTCGAAAAGCTGATTTTAATAGCCTAAGAATTTTTTTGGGTCAAATTGATTGGAAAGTCTTGGGTATGGGGTGTGGGCCTGTCTTGGAGCGAGACATGAACCCAGCGATAGGTGACTTAAATGGGGATTTCGATGTGGATTCAATATATAACTTATTTAAGAATATTCTAAACAAAGCACAGGAACGTAGTATACCATACAAATTGAATAGATCGAATACTAATGACCCAAAGTGGATAACAAAGAATTTGAAGAACCTTATAGGTAAAAAGAGAGCTTGGTACAAAAGGATTAAAAATGGGGAGGTCACTTTAGAACAGGAATTCGTACAACTGGTTAGAAATGTTAAAAAAGAGATAAGGAAAGCAAAAAGAAACTATGAAGTTCGCATAGCAGGGCAAGCAAAGACAAATCCTAAAGGGTTTTTTCAGTTATATCGTACTAAGACTAGGGAAAGGATAGGTCCATTAAAAACTGAGACAGGTCAAATAACAGATAGTGATGAAGAGATGAGTAGTATTTTTAATAAATATTTTGTATCTGTATTTACTAAAGAGGAACTTAACAATATGCCTTCAGCCGAACAAGTCTATGTGGGTGGGGACGAGGACAGGTTGACGAGTTTAGCAGTTACCAGGGAGGATGTTCTTAAACAAATAGTAAAACTCAAACCAAACAAATCCCCAGGGCCGGATGAAATGTTTGCTAGGGTGCTTAAAGAATGCAAAGAGGAGCTTTGTGACCCACTGTCAACCATATTTAATAAATCAATAGAGTCAGGCAGAGTGCCAGAGTTTTGGAAAGTTGCTAATGTGATACCAGTTTTTAAGAAAGGAGATAGATCACTTGCGTCTAACTATCGACCAATTAGCCTAACGTCTATTGTGGGAAAGTTACTCGAATCTATAATAGCAAATAAAATTCGTCTTCATCTTGAAAAACATAAATTAATAATTGAGTCGCAACATGGTTTTATAAATGGCCGTTCATGTTTAACAAATTTGTTATCTTTTTATTCTAGCATTGTTGAGGCAGTTGATAGTGGTAAGGATTGCGATATTGTATACCTTGACTTTAGCAAAGCTTTTGATACAGTGCCACATGAAAGACTGATTAAAAAGATAGAGTCTCATGGTATTGGGGGTGCTATATTAAGCTGGATTAGGGCATGGCTATACCAAAGGAAACAGAGAGTTATTATAAATGGAATCAAGTCAGAGTGGGAAAATGTTGTAAGTGGAGTGCCTCAAGGCTCTGTCCTGGGACCTGTTGTTTATAATATATATAAATGATTTAGATTCAGGTTTGAGTAGCAACATTTGCAAATTTCCCGATGATACGAAAATCGGTAGGGAAATTAATTCGGAGGAGGACTTACTATCACTTCAAGTTGATCTAGATAGGGTTTTGAAATGGTCAAATTATTGGCAGATGCAGTTTAATGCTGATAAATGTAAAGTTCTGAGGTTAGGTAATGATGATAGAGTTACAAGATACGAGCTAGATGGTGTTGAGATTGCGAAGTCGGATTGCGAAAGGGATCTGGGAGTTATGATTAGTAAGAATTTAAAACAAAAGGATCAATGCATAAATGTTCGTAATAAGGCAAATCGGAAACTTGGATTTATTAATCGTAGCGTTAGTAACAAAACACCTGGTGTGGTTCTCAAGCTATATCTTGCTCTAGTTAGGCCCCATTTAGATTATGCAGTTCAGTTTTGGTCGCCATATTATAGAATGGATATAAATTCACTTAAACGTGTCCAGCGTAGGATGACTAAGTTAATTCCCCAAATTAGAAATCTTTCATATGAAGAAAGATTAACAAAGCTTAAGTTGCATTCACTGGAAAGGCGAAGAGTTAGGGGCGACATGATAGAGGTTTACAAGTGGATGAATGGACATAACAGGGGGGATAATAATAGAGTATTAAAAATATCAACACAAGACAGAACACGAAAAAATGCGTATAAATTGGATAAGTTTAGATTTAGGAAAGACTTGGGTAAATACTGGTTCAGTAACAGGGTTGTTGATTTGTGGAACCAATTGCCGCGTAACGTGGTGGAGGTGGTGTCCCTCGATTGTTTCAAGCGCGGGTTGGACAAGTATGAGTGGGATTGGGTGGTTATAGATAGGAGCTTCCTGGTATGGGCCAATAGGCCTTCTGCAGTTACCTTTGTTCTTATGTTCTTATGTGTTGATACTTTTAATTCCTTAATAATATCCCCTTCGATATGTCCATTCATCCACTTGTAAACCTCTATCATATCACCCCTAGTTTTTCGCCTTTCCAGTCAATGCAATTTAAGCTTTGTTAATCTTTCTTCACATGACAGGTTTCTAATTTGGGGAATTAACTTTGTCATCCTGCGCTGGACCCGTTCAAGTGAATTTGTATCCATTCATAGAATGGACATAAATTTATATCCATTCATAGAATGGATATAAATTTTGTGTCATGAAGTACGGAAGTACGGCGATCAAAACTGAACTGCATAATCTAAATGGGGCCTAACCAGAGCTGAAGAACAAGAAGAACATATATTAGGCTGTTGTTCTTCAGCCTAATATAGCTGAAGAACAACACCAGGTGTCTTGTTATTAATGCTTCGATTAATAAATCCCAGTGTCCTATTTGCCTTATTACGAACATTCATGCATTGATCTTTTGGTTTTAAATTCTTACTATTCATAACTCCCAGATCCCTTTCGCAAAAATAAATAAAAATAAAAATAAATAAAAATGATGTTTTACAAAGTAATGTTTGTGTGGTCCACAGACCAGGTCACTGGAAGGTCAACACTTCCGCCAGACGGGTAAGCTGGTGAGCCTTTCTGAGCAGAACTTGATTGACTGTTCCACCAAGTACGGCAATGGTGGCTGTGACGGTGGACTGATGACCGCTGCCTTCAAGTACATTGAGGACAATGGTGGGATTGACACTGAAGATTCTTATCCTTACAAGAAGAAGGTAAATACACGTTTCAAGATAATTATATATTTTATATGGGATGTGGTCTTAAACTTTTAAACAGTGAGTAGTTTGTAATATTTGCAGATGAGGAGTCTGCAAATATTGCAGTCTGTGTGTGGTTTGGTCAACATATTTCGTAATACTTGCTTTTTTGTGATTGACACTGAAGATTTTTATCCATATATCAAGGTAAATACACATTTAATGATAATTATATTTTACATATTTAAAAATGGTTTTAAACTTTTTAACAGATAGAATGATAAGCATTTGCATAACATATTTGCCTATAATATAAGCAAATATTACACACTTATATATAATGTACATATGTGTTGTTCATATTTTTATACATAATAATATTGTAACCTTACTCTATTAGGAAGGAAAGTGTCAATATAAACAACAAGAATCTGGTGCTAAAGTGACTGGTTTTGTTCATATTCGCGAGGGAAGTGAAGATGCACTGAAGAAAGCTGTTGCCACAGTTGGACCAGTATCTGTTGCCATTGATGCCTCACACGGGTCAATCCAGTTTTACCATCATGGTAAGTTTTTTTTTATTGTGAATGTGTACATAGATCACATTTTACTGAAGGTGATCAGTATATTTCTGCATGCTCATATAAACGTGATAGGTGCATCATGTGTGTATATAAATTATTTATATTGTATGAGAACAATATAAACAACGATTGTTTATTGTTCAACGATTCTCGCGTCTTAGATCTGCTGTGTTTTTGATTGATTGATTGATAAAGATTAAGCCACCCAAGAGGTGGCACGGGCATGAATAGCCCGTAAGTGGTACAATTTTTTTTTCCCCAGTGTTCTGAGGTTGCATTTAACCATCAAGCTGTTATCGTGGGGGAGGATACTGCTTCACAGTCTTTATGAGGGTGTCCAGCTGCTGGACACCTTTGTTGACCAGGAGAGTGGCTGTGTTGATGGCTTCAGGGTGGCCACTGCATGATTCAGGAACTCTTAAAGCTCTTCTAAGGTCATTGGTTGCTTCACATTCCAGAAGATAGTGAAGTAATGGCTTTTCTGTGACAGTTTGGCAGAAGATGCACTCTCTCTGTCGGGGTTCACCAATCTCCCAGTTGCATCTGTAACCTAGACGTAGTCTATATAGCCTAACTGCTATTTCCCTGTGGATTCCTTTTGGGATATTTAACCTTTCTAATTTGGTTGCCTGAAGATACCATGTTGCAGATGGCGAACCTTCAGCTATTCTCTGGTGTAGGTAGGCTTTGTTGAGATGTGAGAGTTTTTTGGTGATGATGTTTTTTATGTTCTCTAGGCTGGGTTGAATTGTTTTATGTATCACTGGATAACGAGTTGCCAATTTAGCAATTTCATCAGCTTTTTCATTTAATGGGATTCCAATATGGGATGGGATCCAGTTTAAAGTTATGTTGAGGCCTTTGCCTTTAGCGACTGCTCCTTGATACAAAATGGTGGTAATTATTTCCACATTATCTTTCCACTGTTTTTGTCCTAGTATTTGAAGTGCAGCTTTTGAGTCTGTGTGTATGATTGCATTTTGAGTGTTTTGTGCAATCACATATGCGAATGCCTGTTGTATGGCGAACAGCTCAGTTTGGGTTGATGATACTAGTCCTCCCAGTCTCCAATATGCCTGAACGCTGGTCGTGCAAAGAGCAGCGCCAGCACTCTCATTTTCTGTGTCCACCGATCCGTCTGTGAAGATGTGGGTGGCTCCTGCTACTGCTATGCTATACATTTGCTCTTCTATTATGCGCCTTAGGATTGTCGGATCATAGGCAGCCTTTTTCATTGGGAGACTTTCTATTACTATTTTGAAAGTAGGCTCTTCCCACGGCGCGGAAGGAGTGTAATTTGGGTGTGGATGATCACCCTCTCTATCAAGAATCATGTTTTTTAAATGTAGTCTGTTTAGGACTTTTCCTGCTCTTGCAACCCAAGAGTTTCCATTGTTTTGGCCTAGTCCAACCACCAAAGCCTGCCGTACTGGGATTGGATCAGAAGAAATAATTATCTTACTGATAATTGTAGCTGTCCTTTGTGATATTCTTTCTTGTAGAGAGGGCAAACCCGTCTCCAGTCTAAGAGTTTCAAGCCTGGTCCACATGGGGGCTCCCAGTGCAGCTCTCATAGCATTGTTTTGGGCAACTTCAAGCTTTTTCCACTGTTGGTGTGATAGATTTATGAGTGCAGGTGCGGCATAATCGATCACTGATCTGACTGCCTGTACATAGTATGTGCGAAGGACTTGCAGATTGGCTCCTCCAGAAAGGGAGGTTAGCGACCTGAGGATTGCCGTCCGGGCCGCAGTTCGCTCTCTCAAGTATGTGACCTCAGCATTAAAATTCATGTGTGTGTCCAGGATGATTCCTAGATACTGATAGGTGTCAACCCATTCTATTGGTTGACCCTGTACTGTGAGTTGGATGTTGGGCTTCGCTATTTTTATGGGCATGGCCTTTGACTTTGAGGGGTTGAGTTTGATCCCAATCTGTTTTGCCTCTTTACTGATGCAGTCTAAGCATTTGGGTGCAAGGCTTCTCTGTTTATGAGACAGTTTTTGGTCCAGGAGAGCAGGTTGCCTCTGACCTCTTTGTCAATGAGGCAGCAGAGAATAGCTGGGGCGCTAGCCAGTTCAAAAGCTTTTTCGAGGTCCAGGAATATCAGCATTCCTGGTCTGTCATTCAAGTGGGCTAACAGAGTTGTAATACATTCCACTGTGCCAACCCCTCTTCTATAGGCATACATATCATGGTGCAGTTTAGGCATTTTCCACTCCAGTCTGTTGAGTGCCATTCTGTCAGCCGTCTTGGCTGCACAGCTTTGGAGAGAGATGGGCCTGGGATTAGCTGGATCTTTGGGTTTTGGGATCGGCACTATGTCTGCTCTATTCCAAGCTGTGTTTTCTAAAGTCTTTGAATATATATCATACTTTCTTTCTCATAGTGCGTTAAGTATTCATCATGTTTTCTACCAGAAAGTGTCATGTTCACACACTGTCATGTCCATGTATACACACAATCATGTCAATGAGGTGGTTCGTCTCACTCACCATATCGACAATTCCCACGTTGTAGCACAGTATTTATTCTTCCATTTAATTTAATGCCTTTAAATTCGGAATCTTATTTATTTTGTAGGAATTATGAAAGTTTCTGAACAAATAATTTGTTAAATATTGTATTATTGAAGGATGAATATATATATTGCAGGTGTTTATGACGAGCCAGAATGTAGCTCAACGAATCTTTGCCACGGTGTTCTGGTTGTGGGTTATGGCACTACGGAGGACGGAACTGACTACTGGCTGGTGAAGAACTCTTGTGGCACAACTCTGGGTGATGAAGGCTACATCAAGATGATGAGGAACCGTGGTAACCAGTGTGGCATTGCTACTGAGGCCTCTTTCCCCCTTGTATAAACTCGTGGGGACCCACCGTGGCATTGTTACTGCGGCCTTCTTCCTTCTTGTATCGTGGGGACCCAGCGTAGCATTGTTACTGCTGCTTCCTTCCCTCTTGTTTCGTGGAGATCCAGTGTAGCATTGTTACTGCTGCCTCCTTCCTTCTTGTATCGTGGAGACCCAGCGTAGCTTTGTTACTGCGGCCTTCTTCCTTCTTGTATCGTGGGGACCCAACGTGGCATGACTACTGCTGCCTCCTTGTATAAACACTCACATATAAACACCTTGTATTTGCACACTGGGTCGAGGAGACCCAGTGTGCCAGTCTTGCTGCTCACTACTAACTTCCACTTAGAACTGACATTTTATCTGCTGTATAATTTTGTTTTTTTCATCTGATTTATTTGAGAGATTTAATAAATTGAATCACATTTGCCTCATGAAGGCAGACAAAATAATTTGGTTCTGACATAATGGAGTCTTCAATGAATATAGGAAATTGGTTAATTGAACTCAGAGGACTCAGTTGGTAGAGTGAAATTTTCTGAGGTCATGTATTACTTTATATTCTTTGGCAATAAAAATAAGCAAAACATTTTTTATCATTATGAACCAATTCCTAAATCAATTATCGGAAATTCTGACTCCAATTACTACTAACATTGATTTACAATAGTTAGCCATACAAAATGGCTATTGTAAATGGTTGCAATTAGCTATTGAAATGTTCCTACGTCACCTAATTTCTCTTTTCCTGTAAACTTATATCCAATAATCTTTAAAACACCAGTCAGGAGACCAAAATGGATAAAAAATTATTCTCCAGGACTAAATATAATTAAATCACAAATAAAACCAAGGTCTCCTCCTGCTGATAAAAGACAGACTCAAAACCATTTCTTAGGGACGCATCCCCTGGAGCATGAGAGTAGAGACACCGTTAACTATGGACATCAAGTGTTCTATATCTGTTTGACTATATTTATTATAAATGGCTTTATTTAGTATATTATGTCAAGTGGTGTCAAGCATGGCAAGCCACCCGGAACGGATAAACTTTAATAACTAAATGAATTCTCCATAGTATCTTGTCTCAAATATAGCCGTAATATATTAGTCGCAGTTTATTACTGTTTATTACAGCCGTCATATATTGGTTGCATTTTATTACAACATCATTTAACTCCTATCTTTTAACTCTATCATCATTACCTAACCTTAAAACCTTTCATTTGTCAGCAGTAAACTGCATCTACCAATCTTTTGACCACTTCACATGCTATGTAGATCGTCATGAAGTGATAGTGAGTCTTATTCCGTGTTTATTACAATACAGATTTTTTATTCATTGGCTAATTTGCAATTGCTGCTCAAACCTAAATCTAAATCATTTATATATATTATGAATAATGGAGGTCCCAGGACAGAGTCTTGAGGTACTCCACTTTCAACATTTTCCCTCTCTGACAAAATATGACTCCAATTATAATTGCTTTATTTCCTTTGGTATAGCCATGCTGTAATCCAACTTAATGTGATTATACTATATTATTATACCCCCAATACCTTGAGCCTCTATCTTTTTAATCAGTCTTTCATGTTGCACTGTATCATTTTTGCTAAAGTCAAGTTACTCAAACATCTCAATCAGGTTTGCTAAAGTCAAGTTACTCAACATCTCAAACCTTACCATAATCAACTGGTCAACTATGTAGTTGACCAGTTGATGTAGTTGGTAGTACCCCTTGAGCAGATCGACCTTGGATACATATCTTGCACTACCCACCTGGTCGATGCAATCACTCACCCTTGGCATGGGATGGGAATCTGCCACAGTGATGGAGTTCACCTTTCTGTAGTCAGTACAAAAGCGGAATGTACCATCGCTTTTCTTCACTAACAAGCATGGGGAACTCCACTCACTGTTGCTAGGCTCTGCAAGGTCGTTCTCAAGGAGATACTCCACCTCCTTCCTCATCAACTCTCGCTTCTCTGGGCTGACCCTATAAGCGCTCTGCTTGATGGGCCTGGCGTCCCTCTACCTCGTGCGTTACACTCTTGTGTCGTCGGGGCACGTCGGTAAAGAGAGAGGCATTTTCTCTTAACAGGTTCGTCAGGTCCGCGCTCTGTTGTCCTTCTAGGTGTTGTAACTTGTCCTTAATCCTCGCCAAACTCTCGGAATTGGTGAGATGGGTGCCGTCCGCCCTGGACCACTTTCCTTCCTCCTCTGGAAGTTCCTGGTCCACCTGCATGCACAAAATCATCTTCTGCTGGGGGTCTCGAGTCATCGTACCGTTCTGCTCGGCGGCTCCTCCTTCCTCTGGGAAGAAAGGCTTCAGGCGGTCGACATGACACACCCGTGTCTTGCGGGGTCTATCCGGCTTACCGATTTCATAAGTTACAGGACCCAACCGCCGTAGCACCCTGTACGGTCCCTCGAATGGTGATTCGGTCACTCGGCTCTTCCCTAGCAGCAACACCATAACCTGGGACCCAACCTGGAACTCTCTTGGCGTAGCTTTCTTGTCATACCATTCTCACATCTTACGCTGCGCCTCCTTCAGATGTTTTCCTGCTAGTTCCTTTGCTAAAGTGAGACGTTCCTTGAACTTCTGAACGTACTCGTTGACCGTTCTCACGGTCACTCCTGGTGTCCATTACTCTTTCAACATGGACAGAGGACTTCGTACCTCATGTCCATACACCAGCTGGAACGGTGAGAAACCTAACGACTCTACCACTGCGTTACGTATGGCAAACAACGCAGGGTACACAGCCTCATCCCACTCGGCTCCCTGCTCTGCACAGAACACTCTCAGAACGGTCTTCAGGATGGAGTGAAACCTTTCGATCCCCCCTTGCGACTGCGGTTGGTAGGGCGACGTCCGAATCTGAGTCACTCCCCAATTTGTCACAGTCTGTCTGAACCATTTGGACTAGAATATACTTCCACAGTCCGTCTGAATTTCCCTGGGCATTCCCACCCAAGAGAAAAATTGCTGCAGCTGCCCGGCTACTCCTCTCGACGTCAAACGCCGCATCGGGACAGCTTCCGGAAATCTTGTTGACGTGCTGCCGCTCTGTCTCTGCCCCTCTGTCTCTGTCCCTCTGTCTCTGCCCCACTGTCTCTGACCCACTGTCTCTGACCCTCTACCTCTGCCCCACTTTCTGTACCCCAATGTCTCTGACCCACTGTCTCTGCTCCTCTGTCTCTGCCTCACAGTCTCTGCCCCTCTGCCCCACTGCCTCTGGCCCTTTGCCTCTGCCCCACTGCCTCTGCCCCATTGTCTCTGACCCACTGTCTCTGCCCCACTGTCACTGCCCCACTGTCACTGCCCCACTGTCACTGCCCCACTGTCTCTGCCCCACTGTCACTGCCCCACTGTCACTGCCCCACTGTCACTGCCCCACTGTCACTGCCCCACTGTCACTGCCCCACTGTCACTGCCCCACTGTCACTGCCCCACTGTCTCTGCCCCACTGTCACTGCCCCACTGTTAAAGACCCTGTGCTTCTGCCCCACTGTCTCTACCCCACTGTCACTGCCCCACTGTCACTGCCCCACTGTCACTGCCCCACTGTCACTGCCCCACTGTCTCTGCCCCTCTGTCTCTGCCCCACTGTCACTGCCCCACTGTCTCTGCCCCACTGTCTCTGACCCTCTGTCTCTGCCCCACTGTCTCTGCCCCACTGTCACTGCCCCACTGTCTCTGCCCCACTGTCTATGACCCTCTGTCTCTGCCCCACTGTCTCTGACCCTCTGTCTCTGCCCCACTGTCTCTGACCCCTCTGTCTCTGCCCCACTGTCTCTGCCCCACTGTCTCTGCCCCACTGTCACTGCCCCACTGTCACTGCCCCACTGTCACTGCCCCACTGTCACTGCCCCACTGTCACTGCCCCACTGTCTCTGCCCCACTGTCTCTGCCCCACTGTCTCTGACCCCTCTGTCTCTGCCCACTGTCTCTGCCCCACTGTCTCTGCCCCACTGTCTCTGCCCCACTGTCTCTGCCCCACTGTCTCTGCCCCACTGTCACTGCCCCACTGTCACTGCCCCACTGTCACTGCCCCACTGTTAAAGACCCTGTGCTTCTGCCCCACTGTCACTGCCCCACTGTCACTGCCCCACTGTCACTGCCCCACTGTCTCTGCCCCACTGTCACTGCCCCACTGTCACTGCGCCACTGTCTCTGTCCCACTGTCACTGCCCCACTGTCTCTGCCCCACTGTCACTGCCCCACTGTCTCTGCCCCACTGTCACTGCCCTACTGTCACTGCCCCACTGTCACTGCCCCACTGTCTCTGCCCCACTGTCACTGCCCCACTGTCTCTGCCCCACTGTCACTGCCCCACTGTCTCTGCCCCACTGTCTATGACCCTCTGTCTCTGCCCCACTGTCTCTGACCCTCTGTCTCTGCCCCACTGTCTCTGACCCCTCTGTCTCTGCCCCACTGTCTCTGCCCCACTGTCTCTGCCCCACTGTCTCTGCCCCACTGTCTCTGACCCCTCTGTCTCTGCCCACTGTCTCTGCCCCACTGTCTCTGCCCCACTGTCTCTGACCCTCTGTCTCTGCCCCACTGTCTCTGACCCCTCTGTCTCTGTCCCACTGTGTCTGCCCCACTGTCTCTGCCCCACTGTCTCTGCCCCACTGTCTCTGACCCTCTGTCTCTGCCCCACTGTTAAAGACCCTCTGCTTCTGCCCCACTGTCTCTGCCCCACTGTCTCTGCCCCACTGTCTCTGCCCCACTGTCTCTGCCCCACTGTCTCTGCCCCACTGTTAAAGACCCTCTGCTTCTGCTCCACTGTCTCTGACCCCTCTGTCTCTGCCCCACTGTCTCTGCCCCACTGCCTCTGACCCACTGTCTCTGCCCCACTGTCTCTGCCCCGCTGTCTCTGCCCCACTGTCTCTGCCCCACTGTCTCTGCCCCACTGTCTCTGCCCCACTGTCTCTGCCCCTCTGCCTCTGCCCCACTGTCTCTGCCCCACTGTCTCTGCCCCACTGTCTCTGCCCCACTGTCTCT